CTCATAGGATTTGCGTGCCCTATATATACTCTACGCCTTTCTTCATACAAGGCGGAGAGAAAAACCAAAAGAGGCTAATATACATGAGAGAACCTGAGAGGCTGTCAAGGAGTTTAATGTTTATATGAAGATCCTTTGGTAGAATATAGGAAACATTTCTTGGGCTTCAGCCACAAGCTTGAACTTTTGGTTGAGTTGGTTTCTTGACATGCAATCAGAGCCTTGTTGACTAAGAGGTCATGGGTTTGAAACTCAGCGGCACCCAGTTTTTAAAAAATTAAGGTTTAACGTGCAAGGATCGAAAAAGACTACGCCTACACATGAGGGAGTGTGTTAGAATATAAGAGACATTTCTTGGGGCACAACTACAAGCTTGAGCTTTTGGTTGAGTTGGTTCATTGACACAAGTAATATTGTGAAAAAAATGTTGACTACATATTACTTGTCAATTAATGATTTACGTCAAACAATTATAAACAAAACAGACGTTGTAGTAAAAAATTAAATTAACAAAAAAGTAGCACTTCGTTGTTTCTGAAATGTTGGGGGTATGCAAACACCAAAGAGGAGACAGATCTGAAAGATGTGATGCGGAAGAAGAATTATATTATTAATTAGTAGTTATTTATTATTATTTTTTTATTATTAATCATGTTTGGGGTTTGAGTTTGCGCCTTGAGCCCATTAGGTCAAGTAGCGTTATCTTTATTCTCCATATATTGTAATCCTTTCTCAATATTATGGAAGCAATAAGAATATTATAAACCATAATCTTTCTTCTTTTTTCTTGGGAGCTCAAAAACGCTAGAAGTTTTCCATTTTTATCTTCTCTCTTCTTCTTGGAGCTTGGAAGCGCTCGAAAAACAAAATAACTAGGTGTGTTATACAAATGCTACAACACAAGTTACAACGAGATGAGACTTGCAAAGTACTCTAACACCTTATGCATCACTTAAAAGTAAAACCAAAGTAAACAAAGCAGTAAAATAACACAACAATATATTTATGTAGTTCGGAGAAACTCTCCTACATATCTAGGGCCCACGTACGTGTAACAGCTCTTCCACTAAATCATTATAAAGATTACACCTCCAATCACAATTAATGGATTCTATCTAAAGTATTGACTTAATCTACTTACGAATGAATATGACGACAAAATCGGTTTGCACCCATCTCTTTGGCCGGTTACACCTTCACAACTTCTTCAAGGGACGTGTTAGCACCCTAATCTCCAGAATTACAAGCTTTAACTTCTGGATAACACAACGAACATATATTCATGTTAGTCGTTGTGCCCATGCCTTAGAGGGGGGGGGG